ATTCTGAACCATTTTTATAAGTTATAATGCAAGTTTTCCATAGATAGCACCAATTGAATAGTCTCAAATCGTGTTGTAGTTGAAGAAGAATGAGCTTGGATAGGATGGTTCAGAAATTCTACAGAATCGTGGTCACTCTAATGCTCAAGTCAGCCCAAGGTTAAAAATTAATTGCTAGTGAAAAAAGTACACAAAAGTACATTATATCATAAAGGGAAAATGATCGGTTTCATCCTTCACATTTCACAAAAATATTCTTTTCGTCCCTCACTTTTAAAATGAAGCAATTTCGTCCTTGACATTTAAAAATTAAGATTATTACATCCCTGAACCCAAATTTCAATCTGAATCAAACCACCAATCAACCTGATTACAAATTTTGGGGGTGTAATTGGTAGATCACTTGGTTTACTCAACTTGATATTCATGTAAACTTTAATGAACCTAAAAAGAAAAAAGAAAAAATTATAATATAAAAAAGAAAGATTAATCTTTTCTACATTATCATTGTATATGCTGACGGTTTTATGTACCACCATATCATTTTAATTTAAGTTTAAACACCAAATTTTATATTTATGATACACATTTAGATTCGCAAGCGGATATACTAACGGTGCATGAAAAGATTTATCAAAAAAAAAAAACTCTACTATTCCAAGACAAAGAATGGCCTTTTATGTTATAATTTTTATTTTTTTGGTTTAATAAATGCCATGTGAATACGATGAAGTTGACCGAATGATCTATCAATTTTATTTTCGAAATTTATTACTGGGTTATTGGATGGTTTGATTCAGATTGAAAATTAGGTTCAGGGATGTAATAGTTTTAATTTTTAAATGTCAGGGACGAATTTGCTTCATTTTAAAAGTGAGGGACGAAAAGAATATTTTTGCGAAATGTAAGGGATGAAACAGGTCATTTTCCCTATCATAAATGTAGATTTCTCAAATATTTATAGGGGAAGTGAGCACACCTAAGAGACTAGTCCCTAGTGAGTCCAACTCGGCTCACCCTATCATACACTAGGTAGATAGAGAGGCCGAATTGTCACCTGATGGACAGTTTCAAGACACAATTGTCAATTTCCCGTTGACCTGGTGTACCATACACCTACATTTTCTATCCTTTCTTCTGATTTATGTAGAATCATATATTGTAGTATATTTTTGTTAGATCATACCACAAAAAATGATACAATTAGAGCTTTGTAGAAATTTCTTGTTTTTGAAATAAAAAATAGGAAATATTATAGTGAATTGCATCATTTTAAAATTATTTTAATTAGTTTCAGGCATTCAAAATGGGAAAAAGCTTTGAAATCTCAAGTATATTCTAGTTTTGGAACAAACTCAAGCACATACCCACAAAGCCCATCAAAAGACTAGAAAGAGTTATAGAGAGAGTAAGTTCTGAACATGTTTATACTCATGGTTGATATAATATTATTCTCCTGATGCAACTAGATGATTTGTTACAAGAGAATGCTACAAAATATTACCTAATCTTATTAATCTTCATATCCTTTCCATGTACTTGAGCTACAAGAATGAATACATATTGCATCTCTTGATTATCATCATGTTTTGGCATACCTAGTGTTGATAGCAAATAATGGATCTATATGCCATTAAGTTGAGGAAGCAATAGATCCATTATTTTGATTTTTTTGAATTACTGGGAGAAAAACAAAACAATCAATTAAAAGACGACAGAAGAAGTCAATATCTCCGTAATTTAGGAAAGCAAATTTCAGCATCATAAGAAATATTGACATACTTGACCCCTTAAAGCCAAAGGGCACAAATCATTGGTAAATGATTCATAATTTACTCAAGAAGGATTGCCCCTCCATATAGTTTATACTTTTTCTCAAAGAACTAAAAATAAAGAGATGATCATTTTTTTTAAGATGATCAATTTAGTCATTTGATAAGTAAATAAATATTTATTGGGTATATGGTGTTGTAGCACAATTCCTGCTAAACAATGATAGCAAAACCATAAAGAGATTATTTTATCATAAACTATGACGTGATAGTGTTGCAAATACTCTAATGAAATTCATGTACTATATAGTGGCAGCCTATTGGAAGAAAGAAAATGTCCTTTTTTTCTTGAAATTTATTAAGAATGACAATTTGTCCCCTCACTAAATTGCCAAATGAACCTTATATTTATAGTTATTAGTAATTTGCCAAAGAATAAATAAATGAAGACAATAACTATAGTAACAAATCTCCAGTTCCAACTTCCAACGTAACTTAAAAGTTACTAATTGATTTTACCTGACCCAAAACATCCTTACCTATGATTTGCGTATCTTTATCATGAGATATTTCTTTAAAAGGATTAAGAAAATTTTCTTGTTAATTTGTGTCCCCACTCAAAAATAGTTCTAGATCTGCCACTAATATCATCCACGCAATTGACAAGGTTTTTTTTCTATATTTAGGGCTATACATTAAAAATCAATCTTTTAACTATTGACAATGTAAAAACTTTTATTTACACGAGCAACGTTGTATACATAACTTTAGTGAGTCTTCTCGAGGTACATTGTGATGAATATCAAGTTCTAGAAAAGGAAATATGTTATAAATTTATATAATTTAATCCACAAATTCACAAAAACCTAAGTCGTTGATAACCAAAGGTGATGGTAATAATTTTCAAAACATGCTTACATGAGATATCAAGGGTTATACCTAAAAAAAATTCCTTCCATAAATGGCGCCCTATTTGTTGATGAATAACTGAAGAGATAATTTTAGAAACCTCCCTTGAAGTTCTTAACAATTTCACTCAACTCCATTCAAGTTTTAATAATTACATTGAGCTTCCTTGGTCCAATCAAATGACTAAAATGTCCATTTAATAGTAATGCATAAAGAGGCATTTAAAGCCAAAAAGAAAAGCCATACAAAACCCTACTTCTTATTATCCTGCTTGCCATCTTCTAATCTCAAAGAACAACAGCCACCTTTTTTACAATTTTCATCTCTCCCTCTCCCCCTCTATCGTACCTCTTCTCTTTTTCCTCCCATAACTACTCCTCCCTCCTACCATATTTTGTTGTTACCAACTATACAACTATTTTTTACCATCTACACAGTTTATCAATGGTCTTCCTATCTCTTTCCTACTATAAAAATTTTAGACCCTTTTCCCTTTTTTTAAATTAGTTTTACTCTTTACAAATGTTGGCCAATTGAAACTACCTAAGCAACAACGTGCAAATTGTAGATTTTAGTGTCAAAGTAGAGGAAGATGAAAAAGGCAATAGTGACATAGGGAAAAAAAATGAAATTGACAGTTGGAAGATGAAGAAGTGACTATTATGTTTGTTAAGCAAAATGCCTAGGAATTGAAAAACTCAATTTGGTTCTCTTTTTTATTCACCTATTGATTGTGATTTCACTATAAAGGTAGAATTTTGTCTTTATTTCTAAAAATGCTATAGACCAACGATGAATTATGTTCTTGGGAACATGGGAGAGTTTCTTGGTATTGGTATTGGGGGTAGTGGTGGTGGATTACATAAGACAAGAATTAGCAAGTACTGAATTTTGAGATGGGTCACTGGCAAGCTTTACTATGGTCATTGAGCAACTTATGGACTCTTCCATAAGTTGCTCAAGTGTGCCAACTCAAATTATTAATGGATCAGTTGACAAAGGATGCTAAGTCATTTTACATTAATTAATCCACTTTTTTCTTTCCATCCAACCTTTCCTCTCTATCTGCTCCAACTACCAACCACCGGATTGTTCTTATTTAGCCCTTGAATTTTTCACTTCACCATGAACTAATCCTGAAACTTTTGTGTGAACATCATATTGACTGAAATTGGGAACACAAACTCATAGGGACAATTGTGGTTTTATAGGACCCTTAAACCTACTTTTGGATAACGTGATATAATGCTATTTAATATGAAGGCCGTGAAAATCCAAAAACTTTGATAGAAAATTCATCTCCTTGTCATCTAGTGTAGTGAATAGAGAGGAAGGGAAAGGAACGTTCATTTGATATAATCGATGCTTATCGCTTTAAGCGATGATGCGGATTACAATATGAATGAATGAAAAACATGAGAACACTGTGCAAATAGGACACTATCTGATTTAAGGAAGACAGAATTATTTTATAGATAGACAAAAATGATATGGGCAAAGACTCTACCACTACCTATAGACCTACTTCAATTTGTACTACTACAACTAGTAAGGGTTGGTTGTATTAGAAAATTTTAACCCAAGAATACTAGGGGGATTATTCAATCAATGGATTGGTCACATTGGCAAGGGTTAGAAACAAAAAGAGGATTAATTACTATAAAAATTTGACTTGACATCATTTTATTAACTGACCCATTAATAATTTGAGTTGATATGCTTTCATTGGCTATTGAGCAACTTACAGAAGAGTCCATAAGTTGCTCAATTTCCATAAATTGCTCGATGACCATAATAAAATTTGTCTGGTTGGAATCTTTGGACTCCATTTGCTTGGCTAGGTTTGCCACATACAAGACATTAAAAACAAAACTTTTTTTTTGTTTTATTTTCTAGACGAAAAGTGTTGTAGGATATTTCTGAAAAAAATATATATTATTGGACCTATATTGTTACATAAATCTTAAAAACAAGAGATGCAAGTGTAATTTTTTAAACTTGAACGAAGCTCCTTGCAATTGCCGGAAAACTCGAGAGGTTTATGAAATTATCCCATAACTAAAAGCTACTATTCCTAGTCAATTTACAAGATACCCCTAGCAAGATAAGCACGTCAAAGTCATTTTGGTCAGGGACCAAGAAACCAACTTTGATTGCCTCGTGAACTTGAATATACCAAAACTATATGTATATACATATAGTTTCTACATACAAAGTTGTCTGAACAGTGCCTCCAACACGAACAGCTCCAAAATGGAGCTGATGAGTAAAGCATTTTTTACTTCAGATGACACTCCCCCACTATACGCCCACGTGGAATATCTCAGATTGCAATAATTTTATCCCCATTCCATTTGCAGTCAGAAAAACCAGTTCTGAACAAGTTACGCCAATATATCACCCACATAGAATTTGACTAAAGAAATTTAGTCAGAAATCATAATTACCATGATACAATTTCTATCACTAGCATCAGCAATATCAATATCTAGTGTCACAAGTACACAGTAGATTCAAAAGGATATCTTCACAAGCCAACAAAACTGTCGTTCAACTCTGAACGAGCACAACCATGTAGAGATCCACTTCCATGATGGAACTTCCATCAACTGAAAACCCGGAAAAAAATTTATCAGCCAAGGAATCTCCCAGATATCACGGAAACTAGAAACACCACAAACAAAAAGTCCAAATAAAAAAGATAATGCCACCTATAACATTGGAAATAGAATTATTGAAGATTGAATTACCAACCATGAACTAAATAAAATGAGGTTCCAGGCTAAATTTTCATACTATATATCTCAAGAAAAGGTTTCAAATTTGAAAAATATAAGCATACAAAGAAACCCATTCAAGCAAATTAAACGATCTCGCCACCATTTGGGTAACAAAAATACACATGATGTACACAAATGCAGACATTCCAGTTAAAATTATCACAGATATTCTTCCAGGAATTAAAGCTGGTCTTTAATATACCAGTATTCCAGATAGTAGGGAAGCTCAAAGGACACAGTGGGAGAGTGATCCCCAAAAAGACGTAGTAGCCAGAATTGCAATTCACAATAACAGGTGATTGTTCTGTAAAATAGAGCTGGGAACAGCACTCTCGAATTAGAAGAGATTTATCAGAAAGTGAAAAGTTGTTGCAGAAAAGCTATCTAACTATGATTTTGTGGCCAAGACCATAATTTTAACTCTACTAGTGAAATTGAAAAGCCCTGCATGCTGACAACTTAGACAGAATTGGAACTTCGTGAAAACTAAGCAATTCAAAGTTCAACATAATGCTCAATTCCTTTTACATATAATGTTAATGTTTAAGTATCAATTATATCCTGGTCCAATTTCCAAAACAACAAAATCAGTATCCAACTAGACTGGCCATCTGCTCGCCAAGACCCAACCTTTAATAGGCCTGCTTGGTTGGCAATGAATTTTAGGCTAAAGATATACCACGTCAGTATGCTTTGTGCCAAGTTTATCAACAACAAAGCTCTCAAAATAGGCAAAATACATTCAGCTCAAGGCAGGAGTAACCCACCTCAATCACTATCTCAGGTGCTAAGATTTGCTTAAATTCACAATAAGAGGATGCGCAGTTGCACAGAGCTACATAATTTGAAGTACATATGAAAGTGGATTATTAAAACATCATTAATATGCTAAATGTCAGTTCTTTGTTGATCTTCCCTAGCAAGAACTACATTCTCAAATGCTGTACTACTTTTTTACCCTAGCCCACAAATCTCTTGTTTAACCCCATCTCGTGACGTCACTATGATCAGATCCAATCTACAGTAAAAGCATATTTTCCAAACGTAAGTTAGAATTGAAATTCTACTCATTGAAGTGACTTAAAACTATCAAAACAGTTTGGAAGTGCTTCCTATTAGATGCTCAAATTGCTTCATCAAGTTTGAAAACCTTTTGTGCTTTTACATACATTCCATTGCACTCAAAATTCCCAATTCCCATTCTAAGGTGGTACTAATTAGTAGTCATTATTAACTTTTATGAATTTTAATAGCATCTATCAACAACCACATACAGCATAAAGACTACAAAATATCAATCTGGCATCTAATGGTTGATGAGTTTGTACACACCCTGCAACAAAGCAAGTAATGATACAAGCACAGCATGGAATAGAAAAACTTTGCCATGTCATATTCAATCACACCAAATAAGTTGGATTCTTCTTTAAATCAAACACAGAATTACCAGAATAAAAGATGTAGATGAAAAAACATAGTTACAACAGAAAACATGAAAGAGCACAAGGTTAACCGTACCAAAAAACTTTTGTGTACACCTGAAACTTTCAAAGCGATAATCTGAAGTCATCAACAAATTTAACCCATTACGCAAAGTCAATTCACCTGTACAAAAGAATACGACCATTCAGATACGATGTTTACTATTACACCAGAAATGGAAATTAAGTAGCAAGATGCAAAACAATTAGAAAATTATCTTTGTTAAACCATGCATCAAAATTTGCCTGTCTACAAATGGCAATACCTATTCTCCAAATCAATGATGGCTTCCTTCATTGCATAGTATGTCATTTTCTTGACCTGTCCCAAAAGGAATCCATAGGCTGTTAGACACTGTTTTCAACATGCATCACTTCGCGTAAGACAAATATGTTGCTGATTATATATGCCTCCACAACTGAGGATGAAATACCTTAAACCACAACCAGTCAAGCTAATGATTAAGCATATAAACTTAAAAGTACATGAGAGATGTAGCTTTGTCAATTAGAAAAAATTGAATTGTTCGTCTTCACAAATTTCTGAAAAACAAACGCAAGAAAAAGATGCATCCAGCGAAACTGTAAATGTTGATCAAACTAGTAAAAGCTATATAACAAGCATCAGTTCCTTCAAAAAGTCCTTTTAGTAGCCATATCACCAAAATATTAAATTAAGTGCCAATCCTGCTACCACAAAAAGTGTACTTCAGCAAAAATGCATTCAAAAACAAAGGTCACACATTTAGAAAAAACAAAAAAAAAAAGCCAAAATGAATGTGCTAATAATCAGATTCATACCTCCAATTTGTCTTCCTTTGCTCTGTGGTTCTGAGGAAGTACACGGAATTCTTCAGTCATACGGACACACTCACCAACATTTTCAGGTGAGACAAAGTCGAGGGCAACCTTTATGCATGACTGGGAAAATAAAAGCAACCAAAGCATTAGGGAACTGATCGTTCAATGCATAGAGAGCAAAGAAACAACTCCAGCATATGCAAAACAACCTATTATATACAAACAAATACTAGGATGCTGACCCCTTGAACTGATGTAGGATAGGATGAAAAGCATGGCAGATAATTCTTCAATTCAAATTTTACTCAACTAGCACACCAAATTGGTTCAGTTAGAGGTCAACTCATTGGTCAGTAAACCATCTAGATAGAGGGAACAGCATTTCCTATACATTATTTCCTCAAGTATTGTTCTCAGTGCAATTTAGCATAAAAAAGTCAACCATTTTACAGAATAACACAAAAGATAAGAGAAGCATGTAAGAAATATCATGAAAGCAGAGCTTCATTAAAGACAACTTTCTTGTCTGCAAAGCCCCTGGTTGAATTCTATTCATTGGTAACAGAAATACAAACAACCGAATACCCCGGCCGTCCAAATGCGATTGAAGCACTTGGCAAAACGTGCTTTGCAAAACAGTGCAATGGTCAATGCATAGTTTAGCCCTTGAGAAGTATGCTGGAATATATCTTATTGGCCCAGCACAGTTGCTTGTTAAGAATGGATGAGCACATGCAGGCTATCCTTAGACAAACCACAGTTGCAGTGCTCACATTCCTAGAACGAATTAACCAAATTTTGCCGCTAAGTGGACAATTAACTTTTTGGTTCCCTATCATTCATTTTCTTTTGAATGTAAATAGAACCAAAGCCTATATAAATGTACGAAAAAAGGAAGCACGAGAGTAGCAACGGGGCAAAGGGACTGAAACTAAAATTTCAAGATATCATTTGAAAAAAAAAAAAAAAGATTTAAAAGTAAAGTATGCAACTCTTTAGTTTGAACTTCACATTAACATGGTGGGGACAAAATGCAGGTGAAACAAAATAATAGCTGCAGCACAGACATTACAAGCTTTAAACCGATAAAAGCTGTGGCCACCAGGTATTCTACTCTATTTTCTTTCTTTACTTTGTTCATATGTTGATGACTTCTACTGACTTCAGTTTTATTTTAAATTTCAAACGCAGCCTATTAACGCCATGTGACCTTGTCCATCAGAAACCTCAAAACACCAAAAATGCATGCAAAGTATCAATCTCTGAATTTTAGGTATATCTTATTTCGTTTCTAGTTTTGTTCTATTGTTGCAGTGTACTTAACTGGTGGGGTTTTGCATGGTGTGCTTCTTTTTTTAGTTAGGAGGGTGCTATAACAATTTACATCTTCCTTTCAAGCTGCTACTATAAATTTTAGGGTTGGAAACGTTCATTTTTAAGCAGTCATTACTTTACCACAGTTGACTTTTTTGTTTCCTTTTCCTTGCTGTCCCAACCATATTTACAGAGTTGTAGGCCTCTTCGAAGACTTGTTGGATAATTATTAACAGAAGACATTTTCATTAGTGTCTATCTGAAAAGACTGGCCAGTAGAATGTTCGGAACATTTACTCAAAAAATTTTCCAACACCCGCACACCAACAAAGCCTTATACATTTACAAATCTAACTTCACTGCCTAACCTTATGATATTATCTCCAATATTTTCACGCATCACAGTTTGCCACATCAAGCTCTTTAGGAGATTAGCTTCACAAATTAGTAGAGCCAAGAGGAGCTGAAATTTTGTTTACAAGTCATAAATATGAGGAGGAACTACAATTTTAGTGCAATACAATATCCATTTTTAGGGCTGCAAAACACCAGTATTGCCCTAGATTATCATAAGACCAAATAACCCTTTATGAAGTAGTTGACGCACATGTGTCCCAACTATTTGAGCAGCTTCTGACCTATAACAACAGCAACTTAAGAAATAAAGAATAGTCAACAACCACTGACTTCCCACTCCCAGATGGATGCCAACCAAGGCTTCCCATTCACCTAAAAGTGGAGTTAGACGTGGACCTCCACCTATTAAGTCATTTGCAAGAGTATATACTGGACATAAAATTTCTCTTACTACTCTTGATAAAGTTTAACATAACTTAATTTTGGAAATTTCTAACAAGTATGAATAACCTCAACATGCTCCACAATGATGGTATCAAGAAGAATATTTAATTTTTTTTATTTAAAATGTTGCCATGTGTTGAAGATATGTAATCTGATATTATGAAAAGATTTGATATTGTAAATATTAGGAAAGATTAGATTTGATTGATTATAGTATCATATGATTATAGTATCATGTGATTATAGTATCATATATTAATTAGGTAATAATATGATTATAGTATCATATGATTATAGTATCCACTTGTGTATATATATTTGTATATTGTGTAGTTCAAAGTGATATGAAGAAAAGTATTTTCTCTCTCTTTTTCTTAGTTTACATGGTATCAGAGTTTCAGGCTCTGTTATCAGTTTGTCTTTTGACGTGACCCTATTGAGTCACTTTTAGGTCTTTCTTGTGTGAATTATAATGGCAAATATGAAAGGTAGTAGTAGAGAGATGAAAACAGTAATTTCTGATGTTATTCCTACAACATCAAAAATTACTGAACACAAATTGAGCGGAAAATTTTTTTTGGATTGGAGTAAAACTATTCGGATATATCTGCGCAGCATCGATAGAGATGATCATCTCACTGATGACTTGATGGGGAAGAAAAGAAGGTTTGGCTAAGGGAAGATGCAAAACTATTTTTGCAGATCCGAAACTCTATTGATAATGAGATAGTCAGTTTCATCAATCATTGTGAGTTTGTTAAAGATCTCATGGATTATTTGGCTTTCTTGTATTCTGGTAAGGGTAATTTAAATCATATATATCATGTTTGCAAGGAATTTTACAGTTCGGAAAAACAGCAGAGATCTCTTACAGAATATTTTATGAATTTTAAACGTGTACGAGGAATTGAATTCTCTCCTTCCTTTTAGTACTGATGTAAAAACTCAACAGTCTCAACGGGAACAAATGGCTGTAATGAGTTTTCTTTCAGGATCACCAATTGAGTTTAGAAAATGAGAGAGCCGAGGCAAAAAAGGAAAGGAAAAAGGCTATAGATAACTCGGCAAGTGAGGTAAAAATCGAGGGAAAACAAATGCTCCTGATAAAAGCCAAGAAAGTGAGGAAGTTAATGGGAGATGAGCAGCCACTTCTTATGCTTGTTAGCAAGGAAGTAGCCTTGAATGTGCATGAACTTGATACTGATATACCTCTCGAGGTAAGTCTCTTTTACAGGAGTACGCTGAGTCTTCCCCGAGGACATCCAAGTGGATTGCCACCACTTAGGGGCATTGAGCATCAAATTGACTTCATCCCTGGAGCTTCATTACCAAATCGCCCAACTTACAAGAGCAACCCGGAGGAGACTAAGGAGTTACCAAAGGAAAGTGGACGAGTTGCTTGGCAAAGGATGGGCACGTGAGAGTTTAAGCCCGTGTGTTGTTCCAGTCATTCTGGTGCCCAAGAAAGATGGTACGTGGAGAATGTGTACCGATTGCAGAGCCGTAAATGCCATCACGGTAAGTAGCGCCACCCTATACCTCGCTTAGATGACATGCTTGATGAGTTACATGGGCTGTGTTCTTTACCAAAATTGATCTCAAAAGTGGGTACCATCAAATTAGGATTAAGGAGGGGGATGAATGGAAAACTGCCTTCAAAACTAAGTATGGCTTGTATGAGTGGTTAGTGATGCCTTTTGGGCTAACTAATGCACCTAGTACCTTCATGAGGTTAAGGAATCATGTTCTGCGTCCATTCTTAGGAAATTTGTGGTAGTTTACTTTGATATCCTAATTTATAGCAAATCTTATGATGAACACCTAGAGCATATTAGGGCTGTTATGGATGTACTTCGAAGAGAGAAGTTCTATGCCAATCTCAAGAAGTGCAATTTTTGCACAAGCGGTTGTGTTCCTAGGGTTTGTTATAAGTGCGCAGGAATAAAGGTGGATGATCAAAAGGTGAAAGCTATTCAAGAGTGGCCAACACCAAGGTCTGTGGGTGACGTTCGAAGCTTCCATGGCCTTGCGGGTTTTTATAGGAGATTCGTGAGGGACTTTAGCACTATTGCTGCACCCTTGACCGAGTTGATCAAGAAGAATGAGAACTTCCATTGGGGAGATTCTCAAGAACAAGCCTTTCGCGCTTTAAAGCACAAACTCACACATGCACCTGTACTTGCTTTACTTGACTTTTCTAAGACATTTGAAATTGATTGTGATGCTTTAGGTATTGGAGTTGGAGCTGTGTTGAACCAAGGAGGAAGACCTGTTGCCTACTTTAGTAAGAAACTCAATGGGGCTGCACTGAACTACTCAACTTATGATAAAGAGTTGTACGCCCTCATTTGAGCACTACAAGTTTGGCAACACTACTTAAGGCCTAAGGAATTCGTGATACACACTGATCATGAGTCCCTTAAATACCTTAAGGCTCAGCATACCTTGAGCAAAAAGCATGCAAGGTGGATCGCATTCGTGGAGTCCTTTCCATACGTGATTAAATACAAGGCTGGTAAGTCTAATGTAGTTGCGGATGCACTCTCACGAAGGTACTCTCTACTCACTTCCTTAGATGCTAAGTTGTTAGGGTTTGAGCTTATTAAAGACATCTATGCACAAGATAGTGATTTCGGTGAACTTTACCTTTCTTGCAAACACACTGGGCAAGGTAAATTCTTCATTTCCGATGGTTACTTGTTTTATGCCAATCGGCTTTGCATCCCACATGGATCCATCCGCGAACTTTTGATACGAGAATCCCATTCGGGTGGCCTTATGGGACATTTTGGGATTGATAAGACTCTTGCCATGCTGCAGGAGCACTTCTATTGGCCGCACATGAGGAGAGATATTGCACGAGTGGTAGAGCGATGCTTAGCTTGTAAGAAAGCTAAATCCAAGGTACACCCGTATGGCCTTTACACCCCGTTACCTATTTCTAGTGCACCATGGGTTGACATTTCTATGGATTTTATACTTGGTTTGCCTGGATCCAAGTATGGCC